GTTCTATTAGCCTGGTGCTTTCCAGGCTGTTTCTTTCGGTCGTTTCTGTCGGAGTAAAACGTTACTTGGTACATCATGATTTTAATTTTTTACTTTCCTAGCCACAGAGATACAAATTTTGTTATTCAAGAAAACTGAGCTGAATATTGAACTAGGTGATAATGTAAACTTTTCAATATGATTCTTCTAAGATTATTAAACACATCATACATAAAGTACTGTACATTAGTTATTATCGGGAAAATAACTTTAGCATGTACTTCATAGCTAGAGGCACTACTTATTTTTCTTAAATTCTTGAGGTCAGTTCTTTAAATTTTCAAGCAATAATAGGTATTTATTTGGATGATGATTTTGTTCCTTAAAATAGTAAGTCAGACTAATAGAAATCTACTCATTATATTTCACTATGAGTGGTAATTTATATGCAATATTATAGACTGCAAATATTACTTTTGTACTAGTGTATATAAAAAGTAATTGTAGAATTAATTATTTTTCTTTTGGTCATCAAAACTTTTCCTTTGTAATTCTAAGTGTGCTTGGCTTAAAGTGCATTCTGACCACCTGGAAATTCAGCTCATCTCATGCTTCACAGCACTGAATGCATGGTAAATGCTCTTAAAAACAGTCTTCTGAGCATGCTCTGATGGCTTGAGACTGGTCATAGTTATGTGGCTGTGTCAAGTGCAGGTCTGGTGTAGCATTATCAACTATTTTGATAAATGATGCAATTTATTGTACTCTGCTGGTTTTTTTATAGCACTATACTGCCATGTTGAGTACTTGAGCTATTTTTTTTCCTTGATGGAAGAATTGACACTTTAGAGTGGATATGCATAAAATAAATATGCATTTTGATATATAATTCTTGATATATTATTGATGTATACTTTTCAATAACTCTGACTCCCTAAATTCATTTTGCTTCAATTCTAGAAATAGATAAGGTATACATACATACATATATATATATATATATTTAATAGGTACATGTTAGCATCATTTATCCATTTCATTTTGCTTACTTAGACAATAGTCCCACCTACTCTGAGTAGATAATTTTAAAGAATTCTATTGAAATGGAATAGTAACAATAAATTCATTATTTTGTTTTTTAGTCTTTTGATATAGTGATGGTGTTTACTAAAAAGTGCTATTAAAAGTATGGCTCATAGAGAGCTATTAGTCCATGCACTTGCCTGTCTACAATGAAATGTGTACAGAAGTTGAGAGCCTGCATTTTGAAACTTTAAAAGCAGTTTGATATCATCATGATGTTTAAGGTCAGCAGTACAGAAATACAGTCCCTAGTGACTTGGTTGAGTACATGAGCAGGCAGGAATCTGAGCCTTCATTACAGTTTGGAAAGCACTGATCTATAACATAATAACACTTCTCTATATTCTTTGACTTTGAAATATAGCTTTTATTGATGATTAACATGTATTGGATACTGAGCTAAGTACTTTACAGTATATCTTATTTGCCCCTTTTAATATTCCTACTGCATGCCCTTGTTAGATTCATTTCACAGAGGAGACAAATCAAAGCACAAAGAAGTATTTTGCTTAAGGTCACACAGAAGTTACACATCAAGATATCTTTAGACCATTGATGATAATTAATGCTGTTATATTTCATATTATTACATATGTTTAATGCTTTGTATTTAATGTTTTTTCTGAAATGTATCCTCCAGATGTGAAAACTTTTTTGTCCTTCTTTCTTCCCTCCCTTCCCCTCTCTCGTTCCTTCCTTCCTCTTATATCTGTCTCCTTCCTCCTCTCGGTCTGCTTTCTTCACCGCTGTCCTTCTTCTCTGTCTCCTCCTCCTTCCCCTCCACACCCCACACCTCAGAAAGGTTAGCACATGTTTCAGGAAAAGGGGAGCTCAGTGTCTAGACAAGGTTGGGACTTTCCAATCCCTTTCTCTGTTCCCACAGAACACATGAGCCTGCCTTGTATCTTCTCTGCAACTCCATTCTTTGTCCGTGGGCCATGTTAAAATCTTCAAGCCAAAAAATTTGTAATAGTTTGCCATTCTTCATACATATCAAATATGTAAATTATGTATAGGGAAGTCTAATCAAAATTTTAAATTATTTCTATTATAACTATGATCTATTTTTTTTAAATTATTACTTAGACACATATAATTTTACCAAATGCATAAATATGATATAAATATACATAAATATGATACTATAATATTTATTTTTAAGTTTAGGAAAACTCTCTGCTTTCTTTCTTTTATACTTGCCTTACTTTATTCTCTCACCCACATACACACCATTTCTACCAATTCCTTTTCCTATCCAACTTCACAATTCATGTAAATCACTTTTCATTATTTCACTTTTTCTTCATATGCATGTAATCACAAACGTATCCTCAGAAAATTGTAGTCTTTTTTATAAAAACAAGTTTATATTATTGCACATTTAAAAAAATCTCTTCTCATAAAACAGTACATTATGGAACTCACTCCAAGTCAATTGCTAGACATACAATTCATTGTTTTAATGGGTGCATAGTGTTCTGTGATGTAGACATAAAGTAACTGAGCTCTTCCCATTTTATAGTCACTCTCTGTTTTTATTCCTCTACTTTGTACTGTGCTATAATAGACATCATTTTACACTTATCTTTAGGTACTTCTGCCTTTATTTCTATAAGATGGATTTCAGAGGAGGGTTCTTTGGGCAAATGAAAATATGTATTTTTAGTCTGAATTGATGTCAAGTATTCTTACAAAGGCCAGTTATGATACACATTTCCTCTGGCAATGGATGAAAGCAAATCCATGTTACTCCATCTCTGCTAGTAATAGTTGTTATGGAGAGTTTAGAGAAAAGACATCGGGTATACTATCTCAGTCTTCTGGGCTTTATCTTGGATTTTATCCATGCTTTGAATGGATATTACTTGCAGCCTTCAAATAACTGCATTTCTGTCTTCTAACCACAAGTGCCTGCTATATCTTCGTTTCCTGCCCTAGTCGTCAGTGACTTGGATGATGGTAAAAGTCTTCTTGACTTGCAGTTGTGTGTATGAGCAAGTCGCAAACGCTGAGGCACCTCCGCTGGTGAATGCTCCTGCCTCCTACCTTCAAATAAGGCAATTCTAGGAGAACTTCTCTTCACTTTCCAGGAGGCTCTGGTGATGTTGAGACTTTCTTGCCCAAAGGGGTGACCTTTAGAGCAAAAGTGACCTCTTGGATCAACTTGTTCTCCTTCTTTGTCTCACTCTCCCATCCCCTCAACCACCTGCACACAGATGCTGGTCCACAGGCTACTTCAGAGGAAACCCAGGAAGAGCCGGGTGCTTTCTGTGGTTCTCAATCTGATGGCTGCGAAGTGGCATTTTGCTGTTGCTCAAAATTTCACTTTCCTGATTGTTACTGAGGGTGATCACCTTTTCCTATGTGTGCTGTGCATGCTGGTTTCTGCTGTTGGTAATTGTCTTTTCAATACTCAGCATATTCATTTATTGGGTTTTGTGTGATTTAGATAATTTTAAGATCTCTGTTATGAGGCTCTTCTCTGCATTAATATTTCTAACCAATATTAATATTTCTATTTGTCTTTCACTTTGCTCTGCTGTATTTTACATTATAAAACTTAAATTATATTGTCAAATGTGGTTATCTTTTATTTTATGGAGTCTGCTTTTCCAGTTTGGATTAAGAACGCACACCATGCCTCACCCCACTCCCCATAACTTACACGAATCTTAATTCTAGATTTTCCTGTATGATTTTGGTACTTTTTATATTTCAAGTATTTAATCCATCTGGAATTTATTTTTGACTTTAAGTGATTAATTTTATTTTTTTCTGGAATAGTCTGTTATGCAGCATCACTTATTGGTCCATTGTTTTCCCCATTAAACTGAAATACTATCCTTGACATGCATTAACCTTTTTGTTGTGATGTTTTTCACCTGCATTCTTTATTTTGTTCCTTTGAATGATCTTTTCAGCAAATATATTGATTTGATTACAATGGCTTTATATATTCTTTATTTTCATTTCTTATCATCCATTCCTCATTATTCATTATTTAAAAATTTAAGATAATTTAATCCAACTTATGGAAAGAATTAGATATGGGTTCTAATTGGAAGTGCATTACATTTACATAGTAATTTGCAAAAAAAGAATTTTTATGCTATTAAAACTTCCCATGCTATGAAGTGACCCACCTATTGATTTAGGTCACTTTTATATGCTTCAATAAGATTTTGTAATCAGCTTCATAGGGATCCCAGGTGGCACAGTAATAAAGAACCCACCTGCCGATGCAGGAGATGCAAGAGATGTGGATTTGATCTTGGAGTCAGTAAGCTCCTCTAGAGGGGGAAATGGCAGCCCACTCCAGTGTTCTTGCCTGGGATATCCCATGGACAGAGCAGCCTGGTGGCTACATGCAGGGTCACAAGCTCAGACGTGACTGAGCAACTGCGCACACACAGAATCATCTTCATATGGGATCCTTTCTGTTAAATATGTTTCCAGTTTCTTAGGTGATATCCAACCCTTGCCAAAGAACTTTTTGTTGTTGCCCCTTGTTTGCTAGAGCCTTAAGCATGTGCTTAGCTTGTCTTTTGGTTAACACAAAGTTGTCACTGTTTGGGTTAGAATTTACGGGACACAAGCTTCTTCCACTCTGCAGTCACCCTGCACAGCCGCTGTCCTGCGGGTTGTCGCTAATATTAACATGGGCAGCCCTAGTGCACAAAGTAAAGACAGTGCTTAAGCAGTGCAGAGAGCAGACAGCTTCCAGGATAATCAGTCCGCAGGCCTGCGCCATCCCCCGCCGGCTGAACGCGGAGGCGGGGTGTGTTCTCTTGGCTTCCTTCGGGCCGTGGACGCCCTCCGGTCTTTGTAACTCCCAGCTCCGCCGCACTTCCTTGGCTGGACTCCCCTCCGAGCAGCGACGCCTGCTTCCTTGACGACTGTCTTGTTGGTGGACCTCACATCTGCCCATTTATCATGCTTTATCTCCACTCGTGGATCTGTGGCATTGAGGAAACTGGTAAGGATAAGAGATTGATTTTGCAGAAAGCTGGCGGCTCACGGTCCTCCCTCTCTGTCCGCATGCGCTCGACTTCCGGTGGGGAGGCAGCGTCTTTCTCAGCCTTTTGATCCCAGCTGGCCCTGTGACTCGCTTTGACCGATGCGGCATGACCAAACCGACTCTGTGTGACCTCTTTCTGGGCCCGGACTGAAGGGGCCCTGCAGTGTTCGCTTTCACCTTCTTGGACTCCACCCACGATATAACGAGACTCAGGCTCGACTGCTTCCTGAGGGATGTGAAACCACCCGGAGAAAGAGGCCCGGCCGGCCCGGCACCCCGCCGCTCCGGAGGCGGCAGCAGGGCCACCCCAGGCCCCCTGAGCCCCGGCGCCGGGGGGACCCAGCTGACGCCCCGTGACACAGAGCCTCCAGATGATAAGGTGCAGCTGATAGTGCTGTGAGCAGGCTGTTCGAACAAGAGCATTTTGCTAAGTGAGGGGCCGCCTTCTGGGGGGCGGGGAGCAGTCAAACAGTGTATAAATAAATGCCATTCACGACGTAAACAGAACCTCTTGCTCCTCTTTAAGGTCCATGTTTTCTCAGTGTTTTTCTATATTCAACATGAATACATATCAGAATAGGAAGGCAATAATTTTAGAAATTTTTTTCATTCATTTTTATTAGTTGGAGGCTAATTACTTTACAATATTGTAGTGGGTTTTGTCATACGTTATATAATAAAAACATAACTGAGGGGCTGTTAGAGATAGTTCTTTGTTGTTACATGATTTCTCAGTGCTTTTATATTACTGACTATAGAAGCCCCTCTCTTGGTTGATTCTATCTGACTCTGAGGTTGAAAAATCTAGTGACTGAGTATGTTATGGGCTGAATGAAAGCCTAAGCAACTCCTATTTAGTAAGTGAATCAAATAGACGCACAAAAGGTGTCGTCCTGTACCTGTGACTTTCTATACATGTTTTGTTCCTGGATCTTGGTAGGTCCTGGACAGGTAAAGCTGTCAGATCAGAGTCCGGAGAGTTGAACTCTTACTGTACTTAGCACCATCATTAGTAAACACAGTAACATTGTTACACGTCTGCAAATTCTCTGTCTGCTGTGTGCTGTTTTCTCTGCGTAGCCTCTCAGTCATGTCTGACTCTCTGTGACCCCCTGGACTGTAGTCCCCCCACCAGGCTCCTCTGTCCATGGGATTCTCCAGGCGAGAATACTGGGGTGGATTGCCATTTCCTTATCCAGGGGATCTTCCCGACCAGGAATTGAACCCAGGTCTCCTGCATTGCAGGCAGATTCTTTACCACTAGTGCTACCTGGGAAGCATGAGTATCAGATCCAATATGGGCAGTGGTGTTTTTAGTATTATTAAGATAATTGCCAAACATGCTATATGCATATCTTTACGGAAAACTGTAAACAGCAATGTGCTTGTTTCAAGGTGAAAGACAGCCCTGCGTCTGACTCAGCTTCTTGCTCTGCATAACTGCATCCAAACATAGAGCTGGGCAGGTGCAGCTGCTGCTTCCTGAATTATAATCATCACTGCTAATTCCACCTGACAAATCCAGCCCTTGGATATCAGGGGTTAGGAAGGGAAGATCTTATCTGAAACGCTGGAGGTGGTGGAGAGAATATTTCTTAGAGGGGAAAAAAGGTCGCTTTTCTGATTTTTCACTATAGTTTTAAAACTGAACTTTGTGGTTTGTCAAGTCTTTTAGGGTCCAGATGCCTTGGGACTATGTTTGCTTGGAGAAGTGTGGTTAGAGAGAGATTTCATTTTATGTTTAGCTGTACTGGGTGTCTTCTGACGTTCGGGGAAGTGTCAGTTGACAAAGGTGATTCTGTGACCAGCAGGGCATGAGAAGAGCTCAAGGCCGCAATTAACACGTTACTGTTAGAATCGAAGGAGCGGCGAAAGGCGATGTGCACAGCGCGCCAGAGGCCTGGCCAGTCAGCGTGCTGCCAGTACGGGGTATGGAGAACCAGACTAGAAGCACGTGAATCGGAACGCCCGGCTTTTGTCTGTTTCTTTCCAATTCAGAATCGGTCTGTGTGCTGTTCTGATGGCTTTCAGCTGTGTGACAGGGATCAATAATACATCGTTTCTTGCTTTTGTGAATGACTTTTCAAATGAGACTTTCAAAATGTTTTCAAATAACTTTTCAAATAACCTACTAAATTGTTGAGATTTTAGTTTTATAAGATTTGGTATCATGTTACATCTTCAGTATGCTAGGATTTAAGACATTACTACGTTAAGCTTCAAGATAATTCAGATAACACTCTATTTAGATAGGATTTCATCTCCCACCTTCTAACAAAGCTCAGGCACAAAACAAAGGTTCATCAGTTGGCATTTATAAAACTCAGGGAAAGTTAAAGTTCATAAAGACAAGATTGTGGAACTTTCCAGGACAAAATCAATAGTGACCATACTATTGGTATAATTTAGTTATGTTTGATAAAAGAAAAAGTAGTCTTTGATAAAATCCTTATTTACTTCATTGACTAGGAGTATAGGAAATAATGTGAAATCTCCTTCTGTTCTTAACTTACTTGAAGAGAGTGTTACCATCTGACACTTAGGGCTTATAAAGTACTTTGCATACATGCCATTTATCTGTCACCATACGATATTGAGCAGGTGAATAAATACTGCTGTGAATTCTGTACCTTGATCCTTGAAACAGAAGCAACACTTCCCAAACGGCTTAATCTACAACTGTATGAAAAGAAATAAATATGTATATTTATAATACATGTATATATATGTGGTGTTATGAAATTATACCTTATTAGATTATTATAAATTTCATAAATGTTATTCATAATTTACTCAATAAATATTTATTGAATAACTACACTGTGACAGGCATTGGGTTATATACCACTTTTTTAAGCAAAATGAAAACACTTTCATGTTTTATAGTCTAGCATGGTGGTAAGAAGGGGGTTTCAAGCCAGATCTTCTGGTTTCAAAACCTGCTCCTGTTATTTTCTAGCTCAGTAACCCTGGGCACATTAGTTGACTTCATTAGTAAAATAGAGGTAATATTTCTTTCATGAGGTTTTTAAGGATTAGTTAGTCAGTATAAAGAAATTAGAGTAGTGCCTGAGATGAAGTTCACATTCATAATTGAACTGTGTTATTTCATTCGTTGTGGTTCTGACCTTAAGAACTTGTCATTGAATGGACGAGACATATGCCATCTATATTAGTTAGGCTTCTCAAGAAAACCAGGACCAGTAAGATCTGTATATGTGTACACAAGTGTAATATAAATATAAGTATATAGAGGGGTGGTCCTAAGATGGTGAAGGAATAGGATGGGGAGACCACTTTCTCCCCCACTAATTCACCGAAAGATCATTTGAATGCCAAGCAAATTCTGCAGAACAACTTTTGAACCCTGGCAGAGGACACTAGGCACCCAGAAAGGCAGCCCATTCTCTTCAAAAGAAGGTAGGACGAAATATAAAAGATAAAAAGAGAGACAAAAGAGTTAGGGACGGAGACCTGTCCCGGGGAGGGAGGAGAAGATTCCAAACACCAGGAAAGCCTTGCACGGGCGGGTCTGTGGGGTGTTTTGGAATCCCAGAGGGCAACATAACCAGGAGGAAAAACAAAAAACCCCACAGATTACGCGCCTAACAGCAACTCCCAGCAGAGAGAGAGCCTAGACGCTCACATCCGCCAGCTGCGAGCGGGGGCCGAACAGGGAGGTGTGGGCTGCGGGCTTAGGGTAAGGACTGGGCCTGAGTGCCCCGAGGACAATCGGGGGAGCGAAGGTGAGATAGCAGCCCAAACTGTGGGATAGTCAAAGAGAGGGGAAAAGAGCGAGAGAGAACTTCCCAGTGAAAGGCTCTGAGGCACAGCCTGCTCTGCCCACAGAGCAGGGGCTGAGCGGACACCAGAGGAGAGCTGGCGGCTGCGGCCGGCCCCTCCCCGCGCCGGACACGAGCGGCGCGGGGCCGCCAGAGCCGGGAGGCGAGGAGCAATCTGGCATCCTCCACCAAGCTGCGAGCAGGCTCCCAGTTGCTCACCAAGTCTTCCTGGGATCCTGGATGGTTGACATCCGCCAGGAGGGTCGCAGCCAGAGATCAGCTCCCCAGAGGAGACACGCGGCTTACCTGAGACCGTCCTCCCGCTGCGCACTCGGGAACCTGAGCAGCCGGGGCCAGGGAAGGTGATAAGATGCACCGCCCACCTGGGGGAGTGTGCTGGCCAAGCACCTGGTCACCTGAGTGCTCGGACCTGGGAAGGGCACAAAACGCAGGCCCAGCCGCGTCTGCGCCTTTGTGGAGTACCCAAGAACCTGAACCTGAGTGGCTTAGACTGGGAAGTGCATGCAACCCGGGGTCCACTTTAGACAGTTCCCCCGCTGAGCAACCTGGAGCCTGAGCAGTGTGGGCGGGGAAGGCATGCACACTGTGAGTGGGGACAAACCCAGTGTGGCCCAAACACTGCGAGCGCTCCCCACGCACGCCAGTGGTATTTGTTCACAGTGTTCCCCCCTCCCCACAGCACAACTGAACAAGTGAGCCTAAATAAATGACCGCCTGTGCCCCCTTGGGTCAGGGCAGAAATTAGACACTGAAGAGGCTTGCAAACAGAGGAAGCCAAAATAAACACAGGGGACCACTTTGGAAGTGACAGGTGCGACAGATTAAAATCCTGTAGTTAGCACGGCCTGCATTGGAAGGGACCTATAGACCTTAAGAAGAAGCATGAGCTGAAACAAGGAACTATCTGAAACTGAACTGACCCCACACTGCCCTCAACAGCTCCAGAGAAATTCCTAGAGATATTTTACTATTATAATTTTTAGAATTTTTTTTGTTTTGAAGTTCTTCATTACTCCTTCATTTTTCATTTTTATAACCTACTATTACCTTGCAAAAAAAGACCCTATTTTAAAGTAAATTTCATATATATATTATATATATTATTATATATAATATATGTATATTATAATCTTTGTGATCTTTTTAATATTGTATTTTTGAGAGTCTAACCTTTACTCTAGATTTTTAATCTTTGCTTTTTGGTATTTGTTATCAATTTTGTACCTTTAGGAATCCAATCCTCAGTACCTGTTTTTACTTAGGAGTGTGTTTACTGGTTTCATTGCCCTCTCCCCCTTTTGACTCCCCTTCTTCTCCTCCAGGTCACCTCTGTCTCCTCCTTCCCGCTTCTCTACCCACCTCTGTGATTCTCTTGGTGTGTTCCGGGCTGTGAGGAACACAGGGAACTGATCACCGGCTAGGTTGGTCTCTCTCCTTGTGACTCCCCCTCTTCTCCTGGCCACCTCTGCCTCCCCCTCCCTCCTCTCTTCTCTGTGTAACCCTGTGAACCTCTCTGGGTGTTCCAGGCTGTGGAGAGCACATAGGGAACTGATTACTGACCAGACTGTTCTCTCTCCCGTTGAGTGCCCACCTTCTCCTGGTCAGCTCTGTCTCCCTCCTCCCTCTTCTCTTCTCCATGTAACTCTATGAACCTCTCCAGGTGTCCCTCACTGTGGAGAATCTTTTCACCATTAACCTAGATGTTTTATCATTGGTGCTATATGGATGGAGAAGACTTGAACTACTGTAAGAATAAGACTGAAAGCCAGAGGCAGGAGGCTTAAATCCAAAATTTGAGAACACCAGAAAACTCCTGACTCCAGGGAACATTAATCAACAAGAGCTCATCCAAAAGCTGCCGTATCTACACTGAAACCAAGCTCCACCCAAGAGCCAACAAGTTTCAGAGCCAGACACACCAAGCTAATTATTCAACAATGCAGGAAGATAACCCTGAGTATTAAAAAATAGGTGGCCGAAAGTCACACCAAACCCATAGATAAGAAATAAGAAAGCTGTAGTACGTATACAATGGAATATTACTCAGCTATTAAAAAGGATGCATTTGAGTCAGGTCTAATGAGGTGGATGAAACTGGAGCCTATTTTACAGAGTGAAGTAAGTCAGAAAGAACACCAATACAGTATATTAACGCATATATATGGAATTTAGAAAGATGGTAATGATGACCCTATATGCAAGACAGCAAAAGAGACACAGATGTAAAGAACAGTCTTTTGGACTCTGTGGGAGAAGGCGAGGGTGGGATGATTTGAGACAATAGCATTGAAACATGTATATTATCATATGTGAAACAGATTGCCAGCCCAGGTTGGATGCATGAGATAAGTGCTCAGGGCTGGTGCACTGGGACGACCCAGAGGGATGGGATGGGGCGGGAGGTGGGAGGGGGGATCAGGATGGGGAACACATGTACACCCATGGCTGATTCATGTCAATGTATAGCAAAAACCACTGCAATATTATAAAGTAATTAGCCTCCAATTAAAGTAAATTAATTAAAAATTAAATTAAATTAAAAAAAGAAAAATATCTGAAAAGAAGTTTAATATTCTTGTGAAATTAGCTTTGGTAAAGTTTAAAATATATATATATATATATATAGAGAGAGAGAGAGTGAGAGATACAAACATCTACGTGTGTGTGTATATATATATATACACATCATATACACATGTGTCCTAACATGTACATGTATACATTCCTATTTATGTATGGATATAGGTGAATTGTGTATATGTATATGTGCACATGGGGATTCCCTGTTGGCTCAGTGGTAGACAATCCGCCTGCCAATGCAGGAGATGTGGGTTCAATCCCTGGGTTGGGAAGATCCTCTTGAGGAGTGCATGGTAACCCACTGCAGTATTCTTGCCTGGAGAATCCCATGGACAGAGGAGCCTGGCGGGCTGTTGTGCATGGGGTTGCCAAAGAGTCGGGCACGGCTTAGCAATTAAACAGCAACAGTATATGCATATGTAGGCATATGTAAGCAGATATAGCCTATGTGTGTATTTGCATTTATATTTAATTTTGGACCAGGTAAATTTCAATGCCTGATGCCAACTAAGGGATAAGTGAAATTCATTTTGACATACTGTATGTCCAGTTCCGGTTACATGAAGTCTTTTTTTAAAGCTGTGGTGTTCATAAATTTCACACACACACTCATGAATACTGTGATGTTTGCTTTGTGGTGTGGAGCTGAACCTCTAGTATCTCTGAGGTTTGTGTGCATATGTGTACACATGTATTCATGGTTACGCTCAGTCACTCAGTTGTATCCGACTCTTTGTGACCTCACGGACTGTAGCCCGCCAGGCTCCTCTCCCCACTGGATTCTCCAGGCAAGGATACTGGGGCGGGTTGTCATTCTCTTCTCCAAAGGATCTTCCTGACCCAGGGAGAGAACCCGGGTCTCCTGCATTGCAGGCATATTTTTTTTAAACCATCTGAGTCACCTATTTATTCTTTTTCAGATTCTTTCTTCTTATAGGTTATTGCAAAGCAGTCCGTGCTTATGCTATGCAGTAGGACCCTATGATTATCTGGTTACAAATAGCATGTGTATATGTTAATCCCACACTTCTAATTTATCCCTCCACCTTCTTTCCCCTCAGTAACTGTAAGTTTTGTTTCTTACTCTCTGGTTTTGTTTCTGTTTTCTATGTAAGATCATTTGCATCATTTTTAATTTTCAAATTCAATATACAAGTGATATCATGTGATATTTGTCTTTCTCTCTCCGACTTCACTTAGTATAATACTCTCTGGGTCCCTCCTGGTGCTGCCAACGGCATTATTTCATCCCTTTCTTGGCTGAGAAGTGTTCCGTTGTGTATATGCACCACCTCTTCTGTGTCAGTTCATCTCTCGATGGACATGTAGGCTGCTTCTACATCTTGCACACAGTTCTGAGGAAACATAGGGGAGAACGCTTTTTCCTGGGCAGTGATGGTAGTTGTGTTGATGACAGTTGAAGGCCATTTAAAACAGAATATAAGGGGGAAAATTCACTGGGGTGCAAGGAGAGAAAGCCTTGTACACAGAGGATGCAGCATGAGCAGTCACTGATGTGCAGAAGTGCCCAGAGCCTCGGTTCAGCAGCTGCGTCAGAGGGGCCAGTGGGGGCAGTGAAAGCAAAGGACCCTCAAGGGACAGGATCCAAAACATGTTTAAAGCTCTCCTTAGAGTTTAAAGGGCTTCCCTCATAGCCCAGGTGGTAAACAATCCGCCTGCAATGCAGGAGACCCCTGTTCAATTCCTGGGTCAAGAAGATCCCCTGGAGAAGGGACAGGCTACCCACTCTGGTATTCTGGGGCTTCTCTGGTGGCTCAGCTGGAAAAGAATTCACCTGCAATGCGGGAGACCTGGGTTCCATCCCTGGGTTGGGAAGACCCCCGGAGAAGGAAAAGGCTGCCCACTCCAGCATTCTGGCCTGGAGAATCCCATGGATTGTGTGGTCCCTGGGGTCGCAGAGTCGGACTTGACTGAGCAACTTTCACTTTCACTTCAGAGTTTAAAATGGAGCCTGTGAGTAGTGGGGAGTTATTGGATATTGTTAAGTTAGAATGACAAACAATCTGCTTTTAATTCATTTTATTTAGGAAACCAACCCCCCACCCCCACCCCCGCTCCGTGGCAGTGCAGGGTTGGATTTGACTGGAGAGAGTGAGGCTGATGTAGTTGTGAGGAAATAAGCTGGTGATAGCTTGAAATAATTTTGTAGCTATGAGGTTGAGAGAAGGAAATGGATTTTGCAGACAGGTAAAACTGGCAGCCTTTGTTTGAGAGAGCTGAAAGAGAAGGAGAAATGAAAGAACATTCTGAATTCTCTGCCTTGGTTGGCTGGGTAGATGGTGCAAAATTAATATTTGTGTTCAAGAGACAGCTGTTAAGAATTTGTTGTGCATGGCATTGTAGCAGGCTTTGGGTATGCATTTTGATTTAAATTGCTGTAAATTTAGTTCATCACATAAAAACTAAGTAGTGCACAAATATTTACACAAATTTTTAACAAGGCACTAGAATAGGTTCTTGGGGAAGGAAGGATTCAAACAAGAAAGAATGGGAAAAGGCGGTATATAAATAAAACAAGAGAAAACGGGCATGGACCAATGGGGATGGCATGTATGAGCTAATTGGTATAATTACTCAGCCCCAGACACCTGTGCTGTGAACTAATTAGTATAATTACTCAACCCTCTCCACCTGGGGTCTAAACAAGAGGATAATAAAATGCAGTCAGCATATTTCATTTTGGGCCAGGTGAACTCCTCTGCCTGATGCTAAAGAGGTGGCAATAAACAAAATGCATGTTGATTGATTCCTACAGTGTATGTCCCATTCAGGTTACACAAAAATGTTGACCTTTTTAAGGTTGTTGGTGATCAAAAGTCTTATATCAAGAACACGGCAGAATTAGAACACTAATGTGAAGAATAAAATAGAGCATTCTTTGAGGGCTTCAGAGCTTGAGACATGTTCCAAGAGCTTTATATGTATCAGTAATCTCTGCGACAACCCGATGAGATAGCTACTGTAATTATCCCCATTTAATAAGTGAGGAGCTTGAGGAACAGAGAGAATAAGCAATTCTCCCAAGATTGACTGGCTAGTAAGATAGGGATGGCATTTCAGAGCCCGTGTTCTTAAACCCTGCTCTCCTGCTTCTCTGATCTTTCTCTATGATGTCTTCTCTATTTGATATCATGTTTTCCAACAGAAAGGTTTGAATTGCACAATGAGCCTTTGGTTATGAACTACTACTTGCCAGGGCCCAATCAAATTTATCCACGCCCAACACCAGGCTTGGTGGATCCCTGGTACTAAATACACATTTGCTGCTGTTGTTCTTTAGTCACTAAGTTGTATCTGACTCTTTATGACCCCATGGACTGTAGCCTTCCAGGCTCCTCTGTCCATGGGATTCTCCAGGCAAGAACACTGGAGTGGGTTGCCATTCCCTTCCCCAGGGGGTCTTCCTGACCCAGTGGTCGAACCCAGGTCTCCTGCACTGCAGGCAGATTCTTTACCAGCTGATTCTTTACCAGGGAAGCCCTAACATCCAGCAAAAGTCACTAAAAATAGAACTTTTTAGATTGATTTCCTGATTCTGCTCCCTCACCTACAGATGATAATCTCCTTTGGTGCTCTTCATGGACTTTGCAGAAGGAAAAGAGTCCGAGGCACTTATCCTTCTTGGACAACACAGAACCTCTCAAAGGCCTGGCCTTTATAAATACATGTCAGACTGAACAGAAGAAAAGCAATGCCAGTGATCATGGTTCAAATTTATGAACATACCAGCAGGAAGGAAAAAAGAGTGAAGTTTTATGTTAAGCACAAAGGGACTCAGGTAGATGTAATGCCCACTCCAGAGGCAAGGGGCCGCCTGCTGGCAGAGACCAGGCCGTGGGCATCGGGGGCCCAGGCCGCGCCACCCACAGCTGGCCGCGGGCGGCCAGCGACTCTCCTGGTCCCGACTTTCTCGTCTGCAAACCTGTGGGAAGGAGTAAATGGGACAGGGGACACTCAGTGCAGCACAGTGATGGGCACTTCATAAACACTCGATAAAACGGAACCTGGAATTCCCTCTGATACACTGAGCACTGATAAGCAGAGCTTTTGACCGCAGATCTGAGTTTGATAACTTAAAATCCTTGATGACAAACAGGTAGAGAAAGCAGCGTTGCATCCTTCTGATAACCAGACAGAAACTAAGGGCAGATTTTACCAAACATCCCATTTTTTAAAAAAAAGTAAAAGCACAGATTTAGGAAAATATATCACACATTGTACCTCACATATGGGGAGAAAAACTGTCTTATTTCTCAGATTAGGAGTATGTACATATATATATATATATATATATATATATAAGCACATTCTATGAATGCACATTTGTTGTTCAGTAATTAAGTTGTGTCCAACTCTCTGTGACCCTATGGACTGCAGCACACCAGGTCTCCCTGTCCTTCACTGTCTCCTAGAGCTTGCTCAAACTTATGTCCATGGAGTCGGTGATGCCGTCCAACCACCTCATCCTCTGTTGTCCCCTTCTGCTCCCGCCTTCAATCTTTCCCAGCATCAGTGCCTTTTGCAATGTTTCAGTTCTTCGCATCAGGTGGCTGAAGTTTACTGGAGTCTCAACTTCAGCATCGGTCCTTCCAGTGAACATTCGGGGTTGATTTCCTTTAAGGCTGACTGGTTTGCTCTCCTTGCTGTCCAGGCAGCCTGGCTCAGGAAAGTTAGAAGCATCGCGTGAGGCGTCACAGAGTCGTGGGTCTCAGTATTCGCGAGCATTTGCTGGGATTCAACCTCTACTTGGTGTCCACCCTCATCTTTCTGTCTACATTTTAAGGTGGTCTAGTTCCTCCGCAGTCCAGTTATCTCAAGCTTTGCTTTATATTGACTTATACACTTCAAGAATATGCTTAGAGACCTGGAGGACTCAATTTCTATTGCTTCATAAAAAAGATTTAGGAATGGTAGGCATCAGACTCTTCTGGGCAAGAATTACTGAACTCAAAATTTTGATTTATGGATTTAAAGTTATATATATATATATACACATATATATATATGTATATATATATATATATATATGTATATAAATCAGATCAAATTTGGACAATTTTTAATGCCATCCTGATCTAGAAATCTTTGTTCTTATTTCACAGCCATAGAATGAAATTAAAATACTCAATCCACAGGTTTTTTTTTAATTTACTTTGCAAAGATTACTTTTTTTTTTTTTTTGGTATTCTGTACTTGTCCTAAGTATTTGCACATGAGTAGATTGTGTTGAAGAGTGGATCTTCACTTGAGAACAGAGGTCCAGAGAAGATAATTTTCCAGATGTTTAACTTTCATTGGTAAACTCTCTTAAAACAGATTTACTTGTAAGTATCTTGAATTCACAATTAGTCCTTTCTCCTCTTTGTAAAAGAAGTCCATATGCCTTAGTTTGGTAATTAGTCATTTTAATGTTGGAATTTGCCCTGGGATGTGAAAGGTCTTCTAAACCTCTGTGTTTAACAGTGGGCTGGGATGGGGGATATAAAATTCAGTAAGAGAAAATTATCTTCACATCTTCTGAACTGAGATATATGGTAGACTGGTGTAGAAATACGGTGTTCATTTATATTCTTTGCCCCCCTCAACATCTTGGGCTTTTTTGCAGAGAAAATATTTATTTTGAAGGACTGAGATCTGCTGGTCTTGGAGAACCTCCAGAAGGGTGGCAGGAGCGGCATGGCCCACCTCAGGTGAGATGCTGGTGGCAGACATCCTGGGGAGCTCCCAGCCGTGTGGACACTGCCCAGCTGGTGACCAACATCCCAGACCGCCAGCACCCAGACCCCACGCTGCCCAGCTGCCTATAGGTGCGAGCACCGGGATGCCTCAGGCCAAACAACCAATTGCCAAAGTAGTATATGTTTAATACAAAGTACGTTGGGATTGATTCCATACCTCTTCCCCTTGAGATAATACACTCTTCTCGTGTGCTATATGTGTGTATATGTCTCATACCTACCAACTCTTCACTGAAAGGATTGAAAAACACCGTCAATGTCAGAATATTAACTTTGTGCTCGAACTAGCCTAGCACATAGCAGCCAGATATGAGGGGGCTACTTTGGCCTAATATCAATATTATTCCTGATGCTAGCTCTAGTGATAAATCCCACAAGTTGATGATTATTAGGCAGGTTAGGCAACAAGTGGTAGTTCAGACAGTATGTCCCCTATTCACCTTAAAGGAAAGAAAGGTCATTTATACTCTTTTGAATTTGCACAGACATTAATCTCTTTTGGCTCTTACTGTCCTTTTAATATTCCATCTGCTACCTCTATTTTTAAATTTACATTTTGTCTTTTCATCTGCTATTTCTGAACACTACTTATATTACCTTCATAGTATCTCCTGCTACAATCTGCTTTGGTTCCACTAGAATTTATCATATTTTGCACCTTATTCCTATTTGTTCAGTTCAGTTCAGTCACTCAGTCATGTCCAACTCTTTGCAACCCCATGAACCGCAGCATGCCAGGCCTCCCTGTCCATCACCAACTCCTGGAATCCACCCAAACCCATGTCCACTGAGTCGGTGATGCCATCCAACCATCTCTGTCATCCCCTTCTCCTCCTGTCCTCAATCTTTCACAGTATCAGGGTCTTTTCCAATGAGTCAGTTCTTCGCAGCAGGAGGACAAGGTATTGGAGCTTCAGCTTCAGCATCAGTCCTTCCAGTGAATATTCAGGACTGATTTCCTTTAGGGTGGACTGGTTGGATCTCCTTGCAGTCCAAGAGACTCTCAAGAGTCTTTGCCAACACCACAGTTCAAAAGCATCAATTCTTTGGTGCTCAGCTTTCTTTATGGTCCAACTCTCAAATCCATACATGACTGCTGTAAAAACCATACCTTTGACTATAAAGACCTATGTCAGCACAGTAATGTCTCTGCTTTTTAATATACTCTATAGGTTTGTCATAGTTTTCTTCCAAGGAGCAAGCATCTTTTCATTTCCTGGCTGTAGTCACCATCTGCAGTGATTTTGGAGCAGAAGAAAATAAAGTCTGTCACTTTTTCCATTGTTTCCCCATCTATTTGCCATGAACTGGTGGGACCAGACCAGATGCCAAGATCTTAGTTTTTTGAATGTTGAGTTTTAAGCCAACTTTTTCACTCTCTGCTTTCACTTTCATTAAGAAGCTCTTTAGTTTTTCTTTGCTTTTTGCCACAATGGTGGTGTCATCTGTGTATCTGGGTTATTGATATTTGTCCTGGTAATCCTGATTCCATCCTGTACTTCATCCAGCCCAGCATTTGACATGATGTACTCTGCATATAAGTTAACTAAGCAGGGTGAAGAAGAATGGAGAAATACCTCTACTGTAGAAGAGTGGAGAAATAATTCCAGAGAGAATTAAGAGAGAGTAAAAGTGAAAACAATGTCCAGTTGTGGATGTGACTGGTGATGGAGGTAAAGTCCAATGCTGTAAACAGCAGTATTGCATAGGAACCTGGAATGTTAGGTCCATGAATCAAGGTAAATTGGAAGTGGTCAAACAGAAAATGGCAAGAGTGAACATTGACATTTTAGGAATCAGTGAACTAAAATGGAATGGAATCAGCAAATTTAATTGAGATGACCATTATATCTACTACTGTGGGCAAGAATCCTTCAGAAGAAATGGAGTAGCCCTCTTAGCCAACAAAAGAGTACGAAATGAAGTACTTGGTTGCAATCTCAAAAATGTCAGAATGATCCCCGTTCGTTCCCGAGGCAAATCATTCAATATCATGGTAATCTAAGTCTATACCCCAACCACTAATGCTTAAGAAGCTAAATGGTTCTATGAAGACCAACAAGACCTTCTAGAACTAACACACAGAAAAAGATATCCTTTTCATCACAGGAGACTGGAATGCAAAAGTAGGAAGTCAAGAGATACATGGAGTAACAGGTATGTTTGGCCTTAGAATGAAGCAGGACAAAGGCTAACAGAGTTTTGCCAAGAGAAACCACTGGTCATAGCAAACAGCCTCTTCCAACAACATGAGAGATGACTCTACACATGGACATCACCAGATGGTCAACACCAAAATCAGACTGATATTCTTTGCAGCCAAAGATGGATAAGATCTATACAGTCAGCAAAAACAAAACCTGAAGCTGACTGTAGCTGAGATCATGAACTCCTTATTGTCAAATTCAGACTTAAATTGAAGAAAGTAGGGAAAACCACTAGACCATTCAGGTACGACCTAAATAAAATCTCTTATGATTATACAGTGGAAGTGACAAATAAATTCAAGGGATTAGATCCGAAAGACAGAGTGCCTGAAGAATTATGGACAGAGGTTCATGACATTGTACAGGAGGCAGGGATCAGGACCATTCCCAAGAAAAAGAAATGCTAAAAGACCAGATGGTTGTCTGAGAAGGTCTTACAAATAGCTGAGAAAAGAGAAGCTAAAGGCAAAAGAGAGAAGGAAAGATATGCCCATTTGAATGCAGAGTTCCGGAGAATACCATGGAGAGATAAGAAAGCCTTCCTTGGTGATCAGTGCAAAGAAATAGAGGAAAACAATAGAATGGGGGAAACTAGAGATCTCTTCAAGAAAATTAGAGATACCAAGGGAATATTTCATGCAAAGATGGGCACAATAAAGAACAAAAATTTTATGGACCTAACAGAAGCAGAAGATATTAAGAAGAGGTGGCAAGAATACACAGAAGAACTATACAAAAAGATCTTAATGACCCAGATGACCATAATGGCGTGATCACTCACCTAGAGTCAGACATCCTGGAATGCGAAGTCAAGTGGGCCTTAGGAAGCATCACTACAACCAAAGCTAATGGAGGTGATGGAATTCCAGTTGAGCTATTTCAAATCCTCAAAGATAATGCTGTGAAAGTGCTGCACTCAATATGCCAGCAAATTTGGAAAACTCAACCATGGCCACAGGACTGGAAAAGGTCAGTTTAAATTCCAATCCCAAATAAAAGCAATGCCAAAGAATGTTTGAACTACCACACAATTGCACTCTTCTCACACTCTAGCAAAATTATGCTCAAAACTCTCCTAGCATAGGTTCAACAGTACATTAACTGAGAACTTCCAGATGTTCAAACTGGATTTAGAAAAGGCAGAGGAACCACAGGTCAAATTGCCAGCATCCATTGGATCATAGGAGAAGCAAGAGAGTTCCAGGAAAACATCTATTTCTGCTTTATTGACTATGCCAAAGCCTTTGACTGTGTGAATCACAACAAACTGTGGAAAATTGTTAAAGAGATGGGTATATCAGACCACCTTACCTGCCTCCTGAGAAATCTGTATGCAGGTCAAGAATCAACAGTTAGAACTGGACATGGAACAACATACTGGTCCCAAATTGTAAAAGGAGAATATCAAGGCTCCATATTGTCACCCTGCTTATTCCTATCTGTGGGTCACCGAAAAAGCCTTAGACACTCAATTCCTTATAACCAACATTTAATCAACATATGGTTTTGGAAATCATGTTATACTGCCCCCATCTTCTGTCTCTAAGCTGTGAAACTCTTCTATTTATGCTTTCTGAAGCTTGTGGTCCAGTGTGCACTCATCACCCCATCTGTCCTCATGTGTACACTGCTTTTACCTTCCCGCTCCCACCGAACCTGGCTCTGCCGGAACGTTTCTTCTGCTCTCGGTTCTTCAGGTGGTGGCTGTTCCTCTCCACCCAGGTTTCCTCTCATTGTGCCTGGAGGTACAAGGTTTCCTCCCTGTTGCTCACTGATCCTTTTCTTTAATCATTACTTCTCCATCATCCTGAAAGATTCCCGGCTTTGAACATCGTGCCTTTGGACTGTAAGTCATCCCCTGCTCTTCATTGCTCTGTTCAGCCCTCTGGCCCATCCCTCCTGATCCCTTCATTTCCTAGTTCCTGATTTACATCACAATCTACATTACTCCTGTTGTGTATTTTAGTACAGTTGATTTTAATATATGTACAGACAATCCTTCCCCAAACCTGGAGTTCTCATTTCCTTACACTCTTCTCCTCTCTGCTATCTGAGCCACTTCCAGGATCCTGCCTTGGACTTTGCATCACTAATACCTACAAGTTCTCTGTAATCTCTGTTTCATTCATCACACTCCCTGAAAACCACCCAGTATCTCCAGCTCACTCTCAGAGTATCCTGACTAAAAATCCTTCAACTTTACCGGGACCTATAATTTACTCATTCTACTGATTATTATCATCCCTTGCTTTTTTGAAGTGTTCACTTGTTTCTTTATATGGCTTAAATTTTTTGGTTAATGATTACATTCAATCTGTTTTCAACATGTCTAACTTTCTTACCATTTTCTTACTTTGTGGCATTCACTTGGAAAATTCACCATGCTGGTTATATCAAATTTTCTCCATATTCTATGCTTAGACGTAAAGTAGCAGAACACAGATGGAGAAAAATACATTTTGATGGCTTGAACACAGGTCTCACATGGGCTTTTAATACTGCCTGGCAGTTATTTCTCATTAGTTCATTTATTTCTCCATCCTCTTAACCATCTTCTCAAGTCTCTTGTCTCTCCTTAGACATATACCTCCCCTTCCTCTGATGAACTGTTTGTGTTTTTATCTAAGGCTGTTCCTCCATGGCTTCTGTTTCTTTTCCCTGCCTTAAAGATCTATCTCCTTCAGTTCTCTTCCTACCTGCATACTACTTCCCCTGCCTCTAGAGCTGAATCATTCCCATCAGTACAAGCTTGTGATAATGTCCATCTTACAAAAGTTACTTTGTTCCCACTTCCCTTCTAGTTACTGACCTATTACTTTGCTCCCTATTGAAGCAAAGTTGCTTGAAAGAATGTCAACACTAATTGTCCTTAATTCTTGTATTTCTTTTTCTCTCCTAAGCTCTTTTGCCCCAACTACTCCATAAAAATTTCTCTTTGAGACCACCATTGACCCAATGATCTATTTGCATTCCTGGCTTCTGTGATCTTTCATAAGATTTGACTTTTTAGTAGCAGTTGGACACTTTTTCTTCTTCGATTTACTTTGGTCATGTGACTTTTCACTGTGAAAGTGTCACACACACTTGGTTTTCTTCCTACATTATGGGTTGTGACTTCTCTGATTCTTCCTCATTCTTCCAATCACTAATTATTGGAGCACCACAGAGCTTGGTAGTGACTTTTGCCTGATTTTTTTTTTTTACTCTTCTTTGGAAGCTTATTAAGTCTTATGAATTAAATTCCATCTATATTATGACTTCCAATTTTTAAAAAATTATTTTATTGAAATATGGTTGATTTACAATGTAGTGTTATTTTCTACTGTATAGCAAAGTGATTCAGATACACACATATATGCTTTTTCATGTTCTTTTCCATTATGGTTTTATCATAAGATATTGAATATAGTTCCCTGAGCTATATGGTAGGACCTTGTTGTTTATCCATTTCATACATAATGAATATGAACTTGGCTCCCAACCCCAACCTCACAATCCATACCCCCGCTTGGCAAACACAAGTCTATCCTCCATGTCTGTATGACTCCCAAATTGTATTGCATATAATTATATTTCCATTCCAAGTTTCTACCTTAATTTTTAACTTGTATTCCAATTCAACATTTCCACTACTGTACTTCTATTCTGTATCCCAAACCTAGCAAATTTACAGCTAAATTTCCATCAAAACAAAGTCCTTGCTCTACTTACAGTTTCTCCCTGTGTTGGTTAAAGATAAATCTCATCTCTCCTTATTCAGACTAAAACAACCATCTTGACTCTTCTCTTTTTCCTAGCCTCCCAAACTTTCTTCACAAAATCGTGTAGGTTCTACTTTCAAATATAGTGATCTACCCAGAATCTGACTTCTTCACATTTGTTGCTACCAGTCCAATCAAATCAGCTCCTCCTGCTGCCTCATTTGGGTCCTTTCCATGTGTCTTTGAGCCACGGTGATCCTGATAAAGTCCTGCAAAGTCCCCCAGTTCTCTCAGGAATTAAGCTGAGTCTTGAGAATGGCTGAACGCTGCACGCCCGGCTTCTTCTCTGACCTTCTGTCCCCGTGTCACCCTTACTTAACTGGACCCAGTGAAGCCGGGCCTCCTCTTGCTCCTCTGAGATCTTACATGTGCTCTCATCCTCAGGCGTCAGGTCTAGCTGTTCCCTCTTCCTTACAGCTCTCCTCCATCACATGTCTGTGGGGCTAATTCCCTGGTCACTCCAGTGTTTCCTTCAATGTTCCATCTTAGACTGAGCCCATCTTGATAAAACCGTCTAAAATTGCCAGCTTCCTTCCTCACTTTTGATCCCCTCCCAGGTCTGCTGTTTATTTGACTATAGCTCTTATACACGTAGCACTGATTGTCTCTTTTCAATGTTCCCCCACTCCCAGAAGAGTGTCTGGCACAGAGTAGACCCTTAGTAAGTGTTTGCTTGGTGTTGAACTAATTATTCTTGATGTGCCTTACCTTCTGTACTGTAAGCTCTTTCCTTTCCTTCCACAAACAGTTATCTCCTCAAGGGTTTCTCATGTGTATACACAGGAATACAAAGATCAATGCAATGGCCCTGTCCACAGGGAGACTGTAATTTTGTAAGAGAAGCAGGTTAAGAATTTTATTGTAATTAAATACCATGCCAGATGTGTGATAATAGTTCTGGGAATGTGAGCCTGGCCAGGAGGTTCAGGGACATCTCTCTATAGAAGCCATAACAACTAGGTTTGAAGTGTGAGTGAGAGCTCACCAAGCAGACGAAAGGGGAAGGGCATTTTATGAGCAGGAGAAACATGTCCACCCAAACCTGCTCATCACAGTAAGACCCAAGAGTAGGTTCCTTCAAACTTTTTATTTTACACTGGAGTATGGCTGACTAACAATGCTGTGATAATTTCAGGTGAATGGCAAAGTGACTCAACTATAAGTATCCATGTATCCATCCTCTCCCAAACTCCCCTCCCATCCAGGCTGCCACTCAACGTTGAGCAGAGTTGCCAGTGCTATGCAGTACGTCCTTGTTGGTTCCATCTTAAATATTAATATAAGAGTATGTTTTCTAAAATCAGAAAGACATATATTTTCATACATTGAAAATACATGTCACACATGGAGAGGAATTTACTAGGAAGTCGGTGAAGCTTCAGGACTCCTCACTTGCATGGGTTCCTTCCAAGAAAGGACCCTATCAGCATGTTCACACAATCTTTTGTTGCTATTTTTCAAATGGCTAAACTAAGGCATGTTCACCTTCATTAGTTAAAACTGAGGCAACTTTCCATTTTCCTTTCCTGCCACATTCCATCTCACATCTAGCAGTGTTGAAGCAGCTGTGGGCACTTCTGGGGTTTAGCTAGGGGTGAGTTGAAGAGGGACGTTTGCAGTGGAATACTATTGTGGTTTTCAATCACATTTGTGTATATTTGTCTCTGGGTGCTTCTAATCCCCCTCTGCCCACTTACTTACAGGTAAGCCATACGGCTGTCTGAACTCTTTCCACAGTTCCCAGCCCAAGCTGTGGGCATGGAGGATAAACAAAATTATGAAATGTACAAAGTCAGAAGGTAATATGAGGAAGAAAAATCTTCTATTTTTCAGATGTGAAAAATTGCTAACTAGAAGATTAATCCACTTGGTCAAGATGAAACTGCACAGTTTCAGAAATGATAATGTAAAATTCAGTATTTATCACAGCACTGAGGGCATTAATACAAATTGAGTAACAGATGTCATCAATTTTAAAATTACTTAAGGTTCATGTTGAAGAAGGGAATTTAAAAAGACAGAATTCTTACATTTTCTGTGTAAAAGAAACGATTTAGAAGCACATGATGGTGTTAGTTTCTTGAGGCTGCCGACTTAAAACAAGAGAAGTTTATTCTTTTCGCATGCTTGGTGGCTCTGAGTCTGAACTGAGGTGGTAAGCGTGGCCTTTCTGGAGGCTCTGAGGGAGGATCTTGTGCTTGCGCGCGTGTGTGCTCAGTCACGTCTGAGTCTTTGTGACCCATGGACCGTAGCCCGCCAGGCTCCTCTAAGGGAGAATCTACCCCTCGCCTCTCTCGCAGTTTCTCGTTCTGGCCATCCTTGGCAGCTTTGTTTTATAGATACATCACTCCAGTCTCTGCCTCCAGTTTCATATGGTCTCCCTTGTGTCTCTCTTGTGAGGACATCAATCACTGGATTAAGAACACACCCTAAATCCAAAATGATCCCATCTCCAAGTCCTTTTTGATCTCTGAGCTGGGAAGACCCCCTGGAGGAGGACATGGCAACCCACTCCAGGATTCTTGCCTGGAGAGTCCCATGAACAGAGGAGCCTGGGCGGGCTGCAGTCCATGGAGTCGCAAAGAATTGGCTACAACTAAGTAACTAAGACTTCTCACTTCTGAAGTCTGTGACTTAGTTACATCTACAAAACCCCTATTTTCAAATAATGTCACTTTCACAAGTACCAGGGGTTAAGACAGACATTGATTTTCTTTTTTCAGGGGGTACAATTCAACAGTGACATTACCAATAATGAGAGTTCCAAAATTTAAAGAAGCATCTATACACTTTGATTTTGGTTAATCAGGCTAGATAGAAAAAAGATCAAGTTATTCTTATGTTCTTCCTTTTTTTTTTTTTCATTTTTAGCTGATTCACTTTTTTTAGACTAAGTTTTTTAAGTAATTTATTTTTAATTGAAGGATAATTGCTTTACAGTACTGTATTGGTTTCTGCCAATATGAATACCAATATCAATATGAATCAGTGATAGGTATATGTCAGTCCACTCCCTCTTGAATGTCTATTAAAATTTGTATTTCTAAACTTTACATGACGTGTTTGAAGACTATGCAGTCAAAAACTTTAGAAGAAAGTATATTGTGTTAAACAGTTAAATAATAAAATTCTTAGGATATTTTTCAGACAGGTAATGCCAGTTGTAATTATAAGCTTTTCAAATTTCTAAATTATAGCTTTTATCAGGCTAAATATTTACTTTCATGTCTAATCATGTATTTATATTTTTGCACTATTTTTCTCCATAAAGAGTCCCTGTACTATAGATGCTTGAGGCTCCAGCATATAAAATGTATTCACAAAATGGACATCACAGAAGATGATTTCTATCCCATAGGGTTCTTATATTTTCATTCTCTATTCAGTCTCCATTGTTGGTGCACATGAGCATACAAATATGCCCGAACCTAGTCCTAGACAGTTTGATCATTCATGTAAATGACAGGGTTACAAAGTTTTTTCAAAATTCCTTTTAGTTTACCTCTAAAAGAATGAGAAAGAGTTTTTGTAGTCTTACCATCAGCCAATCAGGAAAACGTTGCTTCAAAAGTTTGCATGTGGATTATCTGAGGGACAGTGTGGTTGCTTTATTGTGTATTTTGCTGGGATCCTGGACCTCAGTTATAAATAAAAACTTCCTCACAGTACGTGGGACATTGGATCCATTCCATTTTCTCCAAATAGGTGTGTGGGAAGTGTGTGGGTAACAGGGCACGAGGAATAGATGGTGTAGATTCTGATGAGATCATTTTTCTTTTGTAGAGAAAAGAATCACTTTGTTGTACACCTGATACTAACACAGTATTATTAATCAACTCTACTCCGATATAAAATAGAAAGTTATAAAAAAAGGAAGCACCTGAGTTCACCTTGTCCTGGCATGTAGCTCTTGTGTTTTAACGTTACCAAAGAGTCCATTCCTAAGTGGGAACTGGTTTCAGGCATTTAAGATTGTTAATAATCTTTTAAAAATGTCATCTGCTTTGCTGATAAGAATTCCTTTGGGGCTTCCCCGGTGGCTCAGTCAATAAAGAGTCTTCCTGCAGTGCAGGAGATCCAGGTTTGATCCCTGGGTTGGGAAGATTCCTCTGGAGAAGGAAATGGCAACCCACTCGAGTATTATTGCCTGAAAAACCATGGACAGAGGAGCCTGGTGGGCTACAGTCCATGTGGTTGCAAGAGTCGGACACGACTTAGGTGCCTGCAGCAGAAATAATGAGAGAAACTACCTTGTTTTTCTCAGAAAATCCACCATCATTCTGTCAATATAATACCAACATTTGTTGCCAGAACAAATACTCATTAATAACATTATTAATTAAAAGTAAAAGGAACAACCTTTTTTTTAAGGGCAGACTACACTGTAGCCCCCGCCCCCGTTTTTTTTAGGCCATGATACTCTGAAACTCCAATACTTTGGTCACCTGATGCTAAGAATGACTCATTGGAAAAGACAATGATGCTGGGAAAGACTGAAGGTGGGAGGAAAAGGGGACAACAGAGGATGAGATGGCTGGATGGCATCACTGACTCGATGGACCTGAGTTTGAGCAAGCTCTGGGAGTTGGTGGTGGACAGGCAAGCCTGGTGTGCTGAAGTCCATGGGGTCACAAAGAGCTGGATGTGACTGAACTGAACTGAACGCTGTATTATCCAACTAAATTCTTGAAAAGGAAGTATAACATTTTTACTGGAGATTTTTAAATGGCATGAAAATATGTGGAAGACTGGGTGGCTCAGTGGTAAAGAATCTGCCTGCCAATGCAGCAGCCGAAGGTTAAATCCCTAGGTCAGGAAGATCCCCTGGAGAAGGAAATGGCTACCCACTCCAGTATTCTTGCCTGGAGAATCCCATGGACAGAGGAGCCTGGTGGGCTACAGTTGTTGGGTAGCAAGGAGGCAGACATGACTGAGTGACTGAGCATAATAAGAGAATAAGAAATGTGATGACTGCTTCATTTTTCAATTTCTTTTTATTACTGCTATATTTAATAATTAGTAGAAAAGCTTTAGAAAATATTTTCCTAACTTTAATTCTCATGAAACAACTTTATAGATTTATTCAATCATGAAATACTTTTTCTTTTCTAGAAATTAAAGCCAAAATCTATGCTTTAATGTCCAAAACAGAAAGATTAAAGTATCTTCTCTTTCTTTAGTCATGCTAAATACATTATGTATGTGTGTATCCAATTTTAAAGAAATGGAATGGGATCAAAGTCACAGATGATAAGAGGAAATTTATATGAATGACCAGGGTCTAAGACTCGCAGAGAATCCTCAGTAATAAAATCTTAATGCCCATGAGGTGATGCATGAAGGTAATTTGAAAGGAAGAACTAAACTCATTGATAAATTATTTTCTAGTTGGACAATTCCCTGAAGGATCAAACACATGGAAGAATAGTCTTCTTTCAGAGGCAATTGTGCTGATTATGTGACCACAATCTAGTTAAATATTCTTACTGCTAACTCTATGCAAACATTCAGATGATCATCTACTGGCTCTTCCTTGAAAGTCCTTCTTTAGTTGATTCTTTACTTCATATCTTTGTTTGTTTGTTTGTTTGGTTACAACCAAATTCTCTTCCACTCAGACTCTTAAAATAGAGTGTCATTGAAGGTGATTCAAGGGTTTGTTAATAGCTTCCATTTCAGTTTTACAATTTAGACTCAAATCTAAATCACCGATAAAACTCTTCAGATCAGAAAAGATTTATTTCCTTTAAGGAAGTAAAAACTTCAGAATGTTCTCCTCATAAGTTTTCTTTTATTTCTTAAATTGAGGTAATATTGGTTTATAACATTACGTTTCCTGTGTACAACACTGTATTTTCACTTCTGTACACACTATAATAGCATCAGCTAGTTCAGTCGCTCAGTTGTGTCCAACTTTTTGAACCACAGCATGCCAGGCCTCCCTGTCCATCACCAACTCCCAGAGCTTACTCAAACTCATGCCCATTGAGTCTGTGATGCCATCCAGCCATCTCATCCTCTGTTGTCCCTTTCTCCTCCTGCCCCCAATCCCTCCAAGCATCAGGGTCGTTCCTAATGAATCAACTCTTCACATGAGGTGGCCAAAGTACTGGAGTTTCAGCTTCAGCATCAGTCCTTCCAATGAACACCCAGGGCTGATCTCCTTTAGGATGGACTGGTTGGATCTCCTTGCAGTCCAAGGGACTCTCAAGAGTCTTCTCCAACACCACAGTTCAAAAGCATCAATTCTTCGGCACTCAGCTTTCTTCACAATCCAATTCTCACATCCATACATGACCACTGGAAAAACCATAGCCTTGACTAGGTGGAACTTTGTTGGCAAAGTAATGTCTCTGCTTTTTAATATGCTATCTAAGTTGGTCATAACTTTCCTTACAAGGAGTAAGCATCTTTTAATTTCATGGCGGCAGTCACCATCTGCAGTGATTTTGGAGCCCCCCAAAATAAAGTTTGGCACTGTTTCCACTGTCTCCCCATCTATTTCCTATGAGGTGATGGGACCAGATGGCATGATCCAAGTTTTCTGAATGTTAAGCTTTAAGCCAACTTTTTCACCCTCCTCTTTCACTTTCATCAAGAGGCTTTTTAGTTCCTCTTCACTTTCTTCCATAATGGTGGTGTCATCTGCATATCTGAGGTTATTGATATTTCTCCTGGCAATCTTGATTCCAGCTTGTGCTTCTTCCAGCCCAATGTTTCTCATTACGTACTCTGCATATAAGTTAAATAAGCAGGGTGACAATATACAGTCTTGACGTACTCCTTTTCCTATTTGGAA